TTAGTCAGCACTGTTAATCCACAGTTACCAAGCTAACGGTTGTGAGATATGGTGTTTGGAAATAAAACAGACTTCACATGTCTATTGTAAATTAAACTGTATATTCTGTATGCAACTCTTTATGCATGCTCTGTTACTTCAAGGGATCCAAGGCCGCTTTACATGGTGAAAAAGAAGAAAAAAAAAGGGGCAAATAATAAAGTAAACAATTAAATAAATAGCAGTAGGAGTGGAAGCAAGGGGACTCTGATGGGTTAGGGGTCAAAGGCCATGCTGAACATGGCCTTGTCTCTCTCCCTGAAATCCAGCCCCTCCTGTTGAGCGGGGCTCAGTCCCAGTCTGCTCTGGAGGATTCCCCTCCTTCAGTTAGCATGCTGCCCAGCAGTGACAGGAATAGAAAGGAGACTGTAATTGTTGAAACCTCCAGCAGCTGCTGTGCTGATCAAAGTCAGAGAGCCCTGAATACTTTACACTTGATACAGCTTCATTAAAATGCCTGGGGTCTCCTCTTCTGAGGATAATGGGTATTACAATTTAAATATAATGCCAAAGTTCAAGCCATCATCAACTAGTGACCTCCATGAACACCATGATAAATGTTTCTCTTGACCTAAAATAATTGATTGAAGTAATATTAAGAGATAAAGGATTAAAAGCGTACACTCAACAGTCAACCTAAACAAATGTTTTAATTGCAATTGATGAAAGAAGATAGGTGCGACCTCAACAATGATTTGCTAGTGCTCGTGACTGTGCCGCGCTTACACTAATTGCGCGCTCAGTTGAGGCTCCCTCCGCAAGATGAGGCCCCCTCCGCGAGGTGAGGCCCCCTCCGTGAGGTGAGGCCCCCTCCGCGAGGTGAGGCCCCACGCAGTCTGCGTGATCTGCGTGTAGGGGGGGCGGCCCTGGCTGCAGCACAGCTAGTATGAGAAAAATAAAGAGCTTTTTGAACATTAAAGCATGGAGACATGTCACAGTAGAGACACTAAATGCAAATAAGAACCTGAACATTTGCATCATAGGGCCCCTTTCAATGACAGCCATGTTCTCATCAAGCTAAAAAAGGCATATTTTACCAAATTGTTTAACTGTGCCTTTAAGTTCTTGCTTCTCTATTTTTCAAAATTCTTTCTCTCTAGTTGCTGACATAACAAATCCATCATAACAAAGGGCAAAGATCCATTCCAGAGGCTGTCCCACCATCCAAAACCAGAGCTAGCAGAGACTGTGCCGTGCATAATGATGACCAGAGCACTCACTCTTTATTTTCCAAAAATATTCTTGGAAGTTGAGTTGGCATGAGTGTCTTGCAGCTTAAAAAACACTGCCTTTTTTCTTTCCTGTGTAATGGAAACCAATGTAAAGTTGGGCCCGCTACAGAAGCACTGTGTTGTGGTTAAATCAGAGGCCGGGGGATAGCAGGTGCTTCCTCAACACCCTTGGGAGAGAAATTTGCCCCTGAGTTCTGGCCTAGGATCAGCTTTCTCTACACCACATCAACCTCCACTGTTTTGAGGTAGCGGGTAAAATATTCCCTGGACCAGTGTTTTGACCATCTCAACCCTTTATGCAGAAGCAGCAGTTGGGAAACTTCCACAGAAGCAGCAGTGTTCCTGGGAGTTACTGAGAATGAGATGTTCTGAGAGCAGACAAGGGACTACTCATAGGTAAGACAAGTTCAAGTTATTTATCACTCCTGCTTTTGGGACAGATCAAGCTGTTTCATTGGGCCGACTTTGTAAAACTGTACTGTATCATGTGCTGTCCCTGTTGACCTTTGTTCTGACATGTATGCTTCTAATTGTTTCAGTGAAAGAAAGAAAGGAGAATACATCCATCCACATCAAAGTCAGGCTTGAGAATAAAACGATATTGCCAGAAAATTCCTTGGCCTCTTGTGAGCATTTCTGCAAATCCAAAACTTCTGCTCTGATGCTGTAGGTAAGAGGAATCACAGATCACATACAGAACAGATGAGATGTACTGTAAGTGAGGTTAAAGCAGCTGAGAGCACAAGGCAAACTGGGCCAATTGCCATGGTATTGTCCCCCTATTTACCAGCATTTAAAGATTCATCATCTTTAGTCTTTGTGTCCATAAAAAGTGTACACTACTCACACTTTCATGTTGGTTGAGTTATGTGTCTTTCTCTGGCAAGGCTGCAGGAGGGGGGCTTTGATGTGAAGCCATAAAAGCTGAAAGAGAGCGGCCAAGGCAGCATACTGCAGTGTAGGTTGAAGCAGGATACTGAGGTCAGCAGTGATACAATGCATGGGGGGGTGAAGACAGGTACCGCTGAGCCCACATTTAGTGATGTGGGAATCAGAGAAGAAACACTGAGTGAAGAACTGGTGAAGTCAGTAACTGTGTGGTTCCTGTACTGAAGCCTCCTGCATAATAACCCTTACTAAAAAGAAGTGTATTCAAGTATACTTAATTTGAAGTAAAAATGTATACTTTTTATTTACTTATCAATCATATACTTAATGAAGTTATATATCCGTGTGGCTTATACTGACAAGTATACAGAAAAGTTGAGTATCTTTAAATGAAAGAAAAGTCAAACTAATTAGTCTTGCTTTATTATATACCGGGCTTGTAGTCGACCCTCCTGTCGTCTGGGTCAAATTGGATCGAGTTAATACTTTCATCAATCATAAATATTTTGCTTCACATTTGATTGCTTCAAGGTCTTATGATATTTTCCACAGTAGGTATTTGAACATATCAAATGTCTGATTACCACTTTCATCAAATGTTGAATTGTTCCCGGTCAAAAATGCCTGGGAAAGGAATGGGTAACCCTTTGTTCATCTATCAGATAGTACACAAACACAAATCAACAATCACTTTTGGAATACATTTGCAGTGTATATTCTTTGTATATTCACTTTCACTGTTTTGTGTTAATATAAGTGCAGTTAAAACAGATCGGTCAAATTTGACTAGGAACACCAAAGTAGGCAGGGAGAAACTAACAGGACATGAGGGTTAATACTATTTTCACACATATTGGCTTATTTCACTACTCCTGCATATGTTTTATATATTCTTATAAACATAGTATACATGTTCCAGTTTATAGTAACAAGTCAGCTTTAGGGCTGAATACCCGAGTAATTAGTACATAGGTGCAGTGGCGACTTGTCATTAGGGACAGGCACAGCCCCACCTAGTGTCAGCAGAAAGTAATGAAAATAATAATTCCAAATATATGCAAAAATAAAATATGTTAAAATATATTTTAAGATCATGTTTAGTCATCTGAGTCGTCTGTACATTGCTGTTTTAGTCTGCGTTCTTCTAATTAGTGTCTACAGACAGTGTGCCTATTGAGCCGTGTTGAGCGATGTGGGGCAAGCCCCACTCAATGCTGTCAAAATGAATGGGTGCTGTAAAAACTACACTTCGCATGCTCAGAGTATTTTCTATTCAATTGGGGCAAAGTGCTGGCAACCCCACCAAACGTCATCTCATAATTCAGAGCTGATTGGCTGTAAGTACGTGTGCCGCGAAAAGTGTAGTTGTGAAGAGGAAACGAGAGAGAGCAGCTTATCGCCATTAAAATCAGTATAACGGAAAGAAAATGAATGAAGTTGACCATCTACTTCAGCTTTGGTAAGTTCATTTTATGTCATATCTTTTGTTGATCTTCTGTGTTTTGCCTATAGGCTATTGCTCTGCTGGATCGATTGATATTGTGACCTCGGTGATGAGTGTCTGTGTTTTCCTTACCAACGCGGTTCCCGAGCTGGTTCGGAGCTAGAGCCTGATAAGCACAGTTTTTTCCTGTTCACACGCAGCGGAGCTGGCTCTAAGCACCGAAAAAAACGGTGCTTACCAAGCACCAAAAAATTGTCGGCCTAGAAGCAAGAACCGCATACGCATACAGTCCCCCATTGTTGTTGTTGTGAGCACCGTTGGGGAGAAAATCAGCAACGTAAACAGTGACGTCATGACGCAACAGCGGCAGCACCAGTCGGGCTCTGGGCGGTGTGAACAAAACGGGAGCTAAAAATAAAAACCGGTTCCGAACCAGAAGAGCACTTGCACGGAGCTAGAACGGGAACCGTGTTGGTGTGAAAGGGGCATAGCAGAGACTGAAAAGGTTCCTGAAAAAAAGTTCTAGTTCCAGATCTTGTTGGTGTGAACGCAAAAACCCAGGCCCGCCCAGTTTGGTGCTACATTTCATAAACTGGAGAAAAGGAACACAATTGAAAACTTGGTCTAACCCCATATATCTGTACGTTTCTAACAGCCCTGGCGAGATTGTTTTGAATAATTGGCAATCCGTTTTTACAAAAAATGATGTACCTTCACAATATGCAACAATTCAAATATGGTAAAAATATTTAAACATAACAAAATAAAACAAATATAATTTCATATGACTGGAAACAGTAACTAAATTAGTTTCAGGCCATATAAAGCAGCACTCTCCCCTCCACTCTCAGCATCATTTCAGTCCTCTCAGCAGAAGTTTATGCTAGATAAGACCCTCACATGGGTTTACACTGATACGTCCAGACATTCCATTCAATCACTGCATAGTGTATGACACACTGCTGGAAAACAGGCTTTATTTATCAAGATAACACCAGCAGTTAGTACGTGTTCACAAAATAATATTTAGCTTGGCTGTGATTATCAGTTTATCTGGTTTTATTGTTCACAGGTTTGTGTTCGATTAAAATAACACCTTTGTTTTATTCTGTAAACGACTAACAACTTATGGATTTCTAAACTTGAACACTAGAATGTTGGTGTTTAAACCTGTTTTATTTTTAATTACTTGATGCCTGAACACTACATATATTTATTATATAAATGCCATTTTTTGTAAATAAAATCTCTTAATGACAATATTTTAATTTTTTATTTGGAATAAATGTTGTTAATAGTTTATAGAAACACTCCAAAATTATTCCGTTTTAACATTCTAGCAACCACTTCCAACAAAGGTTTTGGTAAGGTGTCTCGCGATGCTTTAGCGCTGCTCTGTCACTCACGCGAGATTTCCCTCAAACTGTCATGGCTGCGGTGCAGAAGCTTCAGAAGTGTGCCGTGTCTCCGGCGGGGAAACACACTGCCTCGGTTATCTTCCTGCACGGCTCAGGTGCTCAGCTCTCTGTTATCTCCTCAGTGACTCTTTGGGATATTATCTGGATGTTGTTCATTGACAGAAAACGCTATTTACTGCTCTGTTTAGCTGTTGGTGTGTCGGACACGGTGTGAGCTCAGGGAGAATAAACCACGGTCATGACCTGAAGTTTAAAAATAATCGGCTTCTGTAACGTTAGGGTTGATAAACTATATGAGAGTCATAGCGACTACTGATCCACTTCCGGAATCTGTACCTTCTTCAGGGTACCAACGTTTCTGTGAAAATACACTGCAAACAGAGCACTAAACAGTTAAAAGGACACATTCAAATACACAGCATCAATATAAACCCGGAATAAAGTAAAACCTGACCCACAGAAACCAGAGCTATGCATAGAAAACGGTATTCCATCATGCTGTCTTTTTTTGGATGTGGTTTATTATTGCTCAATAGAGTGGCGAAGTCACGCCCACTTACTTCCGGTAATGGGACCTTATTTCGGAAAGATTATGCATTGAAGTCAATGGGGAGAGAAAACTTATCTTTCGATCCCGTTTGAATTGTGCCATGAATTACACATATGATGTTTGTCAATCTTTAAAAATAATTTCCATGTCAAAAAAGTCACAGTTTGTCGTAAAACTGTTGAAATATAAGACTATGAAAAATACGTAACTAGAAAGACTACAAATCCCAGAGTCGCGTAAGTGATGTCACAATTGTTTTCCTCCACCATTCAGATACCTAAGATCAGCGCAATATAGATATAATCTATCTATATGGCGCTGGCTAAGATAAGATAACTTTAACAAGATGCCTGTGTGCTTAGTACCAGGTTGTTATTATACCAGCAATGGGTCTTGCTCGTTCTTTTGCTTCCCGTCTGATGAAACGACCAGGAGTGGCTTGATCAAGTTAGCTACCTAGCTAGTAGCTAGCACGTTAGTTGGCATTACAGCCTTGTCATTTGTATTAGCCTTAACATGAAGTAACATTAAGTAACCCAAAATGTTAAACAGTAAGAGTAGTAGTCATATTTCGTGAACCCTTTGAATAGTACTGTCACCGGTGTGATCATTCTATAATACACCATTTAAGCCCGGGGAGAAATGCTAACGCTAACGTTAGCATCGGCGATCTTCTCTACTTCATGCTATCTGCACAAATGGTTGACATTAAACATTAAAACGACCAGGCAGTTCAGAGAGAATCAAAGGAAGGCAGGCAGGCAGCTTTGCATGACATTCTTCAGGACGTGTTTCATTGTGGTGATAGTGAGGATAGTCAATCGTTTTGTTGACAAGACAGTAGTGACGGCCATCTTGGTGACGTGTGTTGTTGACCAGAGATGTAGTTCATTGAGCGTTTCACACAAACAAATGTGTTACTACACAGTTTTACGACACATTTTTTTTTTTTTGACTTGCAAAATTATCTTTTAAATTGACAAACATCATATGTGTAATTCGTGGCACAATTCAAACGGGATCGAATGATAATCTTTCTCTCTCCATTGACTTCAATACATAATTGTACATACAATAAAAAAAAAAACTTGAATACACCGGAAGGGGAGGGACTTCGCCTCTCTATAGAGAGGCGAAGTCCCTCCCCTTCCGGTGGACCTCCATGGGACCTTATTTCGGAAAAATTATGTATTGAAGTCAATGGCGAGAGAAAAGTTATCTTTCAATCCCGTTTGAATTGTGCCACGAATTACACATATGATGTTTATCAATTTAAAAGATAATTTTGCAAGTAAAAAAAAAAAATCTTTTGCCGTAAAACTTTGAAGTAAGACTTTTTTTGTGTGAAACCGCTCAATGAACTACATCTCTGGTCTCGCACAACAACACACGTCACCAAGATGGCCGTCACTACTGTCTTGCCAAACAAGGGATTGACTACCCTCACTATCACCACAATGAAACACGTCCAGAAGAATGTCATGCAAAGCTGCCTGCCTGCCTTCGATTCTCCCTGAACTGCCTGATCTTTTTAATGTTCAATGTTAACCATTTGTGTAGATAGCATGAAGTAGAAAAGATCGCCGATGCTAATGTAGCGTTAGCATTTCTCCCCCGGGGGCATCCGGGCTTAAAAGGTGTATTATAGAATGATCACACCGGTGTGACAGTAGCCTACTCTTCAAAGGGTTCACGAAATATGACTACTACTCTTACTGTTTAACATTTTGGGTTACTTAATGTTACTTCATGTTAAGGCTAATAAAATGACAAGGCTAAGGCTGTAATGCTAACTAACGTGCTCACTTACGCGACTCTGGGATTTGTAGTCTTTCTAGTTGCGTTTTTCATAGTCTTATATTTCAACAGTTTTACGACAAACTGACTTTTTTGACATGGAAATTATTTTTTAAGATTGACAAACATCATATGTGTAATTCATGGCACAATTCAAACGGGATCGAAAGATAATCTTTCTCTCCCCATTGACTTCAATACATACTTTTTCCGAAATAAGGTCCCATGGGTCGGAAATAGAAGGGTGGGACTTCGCCTCTCTATAGAGCGCCACAGTGACGCGTCCTAAAACCCTAACCCAGCATTTTACCACTTCCGGTTCCTTCGCCAAAAAGCAATGCAATTTCTCCATAGGATTTTGGAAAATAGCTCGAAATAAGGTCTGTGG